GGGGGGGGGGGGAGGGCCAAGGGAGCGGAACTTCTGGCGGCAGCCTGCAAAAAAAGGGGACACAAGCCGGCCGCCGGTGTTGCCTTGCATAAAGGAGCGGGCGCCTCGCTCGCGCGTCCACACACGGGCGTGCTGCCGGTGCGCCCCATCGCCGCGGGAAGGGGCCGCGGGCGCGTGCGCCTGACAGGTGTCAACGGGGCGCCTGGACGCCGAGACGCCGCCCCTTCTCCTGGGTGGACGTGCTCGTTCTGCTCGCCGGGGGGGCGCGCAGGGGGGGGGGGGGAGGGGTGAACATCCCATCATCCGGGCGTTCCCCCTTGCAAGACCCAGGGGCGGTGTAGGGGGATGAGTGATCGAGGCCGCCCCTTGGCAATATAATGCTCGGCGGAATATAATAATGAGATTTGCCGACCGCCGGCTGTTCCCCTGCCTGCCTGCCTGCCTGCGGGCCCTCCCCGCCCGGGAGTCTGTTCCCGAGGGGGTGGCCGGGTGCACCGATGTCCGGCGAGCCCGGAACCCGGCAGCTGGCGCATTATTGTTTGTCCAAACACTGGCCGGCCGGCGCGCACCTAACCGCGCCCCCGGGCGCACGGGGCCCGTGCGCCCTCCCGCAGCCCCCGTTCCCTTTTGTCCATGCTCCCCCCCCCCCCCCCCCCCCCCCTGGCCCCTGCCCTTGGGCCCCGCTTTGTCGCCGGCCGCCAGGGTGTCCAAACAAGGGTCGGAAACATCCCGCCCTCCGGCCTGCGGCAAGTGTCTGCCCGCCCTCCTGTCGGTGGTGGCCAAATGTGTGCCTCCTGCGGCCGTGGTGGCGGCCCCAGCGTGCGTCGCTTCTCGGCCCACCCCGCGAGGAGGGGGCAGGTCCGTGACCCGGCGCGCGCGCGCGGGCACATCGAGCGCGCCATACTCGCGGGGCTTGTGCGCACGTCCGGGCGCAGGATGGGGTGCGTCCGCGGCCGAAAGTGTGGGAACCGCCCCCCAGTCCAGGGGGCGGGGCCCGGGGAGGACGCAGCGGGAGGCCCACACGAAGGGGGCCCGGCAGGCGGGCGGGCGGGCAGGCAGGCGGGCAGGCAGGCAGGCAGGCAAGGGGGGAACGAGGGGTGCCGAACCCCTTGGTCAAGCCCGCGTGCCGAGGCGGTGAGCGCTCTCCTGGATACGGAGCGCCTGCCCCAGGCGTGCGCCGGCCCCTCGCGCCCCCCTCGCTCGGCCTGGCTCGCGGGCCAGGGACTCCTCGGCTGGCGTGGGCGGAGGGGACCCGGGCTGCGCGTGTGCCGCCCCCGGGCGGGCGTCTGCCCTCGGGGGCCTGCACACCGGCGCGTTTTCTCCTCCGGGGCGACCTCGCCATGTTTGTCCGGCCTTCGCCCCATGCCGCTCGCCCGGGGGCGGGGGCAGGGAGGGTGACCGTGTATCGCTGGCAACCGGGCCCAAGCAAATGCGAGCCCCGTTTGAGGGTGCCCTTTGCGGTGGCAGGGGCCCGAGCGATTTTGACGCGTCGTGCCCCCGGGTATGGGCGTGGTCTGTGTGGGGGGGCATCGGGGGAGGGGGCGAACATGGGGCGGCCGTGTGCGCATGTGTGCGTATGTGTGTGTATGTGTGCGTATGTGTGTGTATGTGTGTGTATGTGTGTGTGTGTGTGTGTGCGTGAGTGTGCCAGTGCGGCGCGCCCGGTGCACGGCGCCCGAGGCCAGGCTCCGAGAGCGCCGGCCGATGGCCGCCCCTTCGGTAGCGCGCCCAGCACCCGGGGCCTGGGGCCTTTTGGTGAACAAGAGCCGGCCATCGAGCCATGGACGCCAAAGTGCGCGAGACTCCCCCCCCCCCCCACCGCTCCCAGCCCGGCCGGCCTCGGGTCTGCCTCGGCGGGGGCGGCCTGCCGGAGGCGCCCGGGCAGCTCCGGCCGGCTTGTGTGCGCCTCCTTGCGGCCGACGCCGGCTCCCTGTGTCACACCCACCGGTCCGGCCAGGGGGTGCTCCTGGATACCTGCGAGACATGCTCATGCCGGCCCGGACGGGGGCCTCCCCTTGAAACGTGCCTGCGCGCCTGGGGCCGTCGACGACCAGGCAGCCGGTCCGGGGATGCGACAACTTTGCGCCGAAGGAGGGCCGAGGGAGGCGCCGGGCCGCGGAATCGGCCCGCCCGGACGGGCCCGCCACCAACCAGCAGCTCGGGACCCGGGCGGGGGGGAGCCCGCTTGCTTTTGCCTCGGGCCCGCATACCCCGCCATCGCCCGGACATGCCATTGCTATGTCCCCCAACCGGCGAGAAGGGGCCAGGACAGCATGCTGACATCCGGCCAGAGGCCGGCCTCATTTTCTGGCCCTTCCCCCGGGGCCCGGAGTGTGGAGCCCGACCACCGGAGCCAAGCCCGGAAGTGGGTGCCCGCCCCCCCCGCCCCGCCCCCCACCCCGGCAGCCGGCGCGAGGGCGACCCCGCCCGCCAGCGCGGGATTCCCCGGCCGGCCAGCGCTCGGCCGCCACCCACGCCCCGCAGCAGAGAGCAGCCCTACGCATATCTACGGGTTTGCCAATGGTAGAGGAATGCCTCGCCCCCCCCCCTCCCCCCGCCCCCGGCGAGGCTCCGCGCGTCTGCACGCGTCTGGGTGTGTCCTCTCTGCCTCTCGCTTGGCGTCCTGTCCAGATGCTGGGGCAATGCCCGCGCGCGCGCGCGCGCGAGAGGCTCCCTCCTCGCCTGGACGAACCAGGCCCGGCGGCCGCGCCAGCTGCCCCCGGCTGCGTGGCGGCCCCGGGCCCGGCGGCCGACCGCCCGTGCAGTGGCTCCTCCCAGATCCGCGGGTCGGGGGGAGGGGCCCGGGGGAGCGTGGTCCGGTATTGTTTGCGACCCCCCCTGGAGACGGGCTCCCACGCCAGGCCGAAGCCAGTGATCCTCCCTCTCTGCGCGTGGCCATGCTCTGCGCATGCACCCAGCAGGAGTCCCCCCCCCCCCCCCCCCCCCCGATGCCCCAGCCGTCTCGGCCCGCGGCCCGGCTGGGGGCGCGCTTGCCCCGCCGCCGGGGCCGGGCGGAGATCTCCCAGCCTGCCGGGGGATTCCTTCCTGTGCCGCGCTCCGAGCGCGCGATCTCCATCCCCCCCCCCCCCCCCCCGCGGGCGCCATCTCGCGTGCCAGGTGCCAGGCAGTCGGCGCTGCGCCGCTGTAACCGTGCCCGCGCCCGCGCCGGGGCATTCGCGGTCGTGGTTGCCCAGCGGCCGGGCTTGGCGCGGCCCCACTCCCAGCCAGCACGCGTACCCTCGCCAGGCGCGGCCCATCCGCACGCGAGGGGCTCCAGGGGCCGGCGAGGGGAAGGCGGCCTCGGGCAAAGACCGGCAGATACGCCCGGCGATGCCGACCGGAGCCGATGTCGCTATGGGCCGAGAGATCACCCGGTTGCCTTGCCCTTGTGTGGCCGCGGGGGGAGGGAGGGAGGGAGGGAGGGGGGGGGGAGGCAGGCGCGGCATACCATTCGGAGGGAGAGCCGGCTCTGGCAGGTGTCATCCTCGCGCCGCCTATGCGGCTGCTGCCGTGCTCTGGAGCACGCCCGCGGCTACCATCACCACCGAGCCTCTCACCTCGTCCGCCCACTTGCCCTCCCCCCCCCCTGGTTCCTCTCCGGGCCTGTGGAGCTTCCAGCCCGGAGGCACCGCACTCGCCTAGAAGACATGCCGCCCTCCCCGGCATGGCGCTCGACCACGCCTGTACATCACCACCACCAATCTCACCCTCCCCCCCCCCTACTCCCTTCCTTTGCCGCCTTCCTGCCTTTGCTCCCTGCCCCCCCCCCCCTCCCCCAGTGCCAAGTACCCCTCGCGCACCCCCGCACCGCCCTCCCTCCATCTCCTCCCCGCCGCCCGCCCTCGTCGGAGCCGCCCCTCTTCCGCCGTGTTGCGAGCCCAGGTGCGCGCCCTCTGCTTCTTGCGAGGCATCTGCTCTCCTCTCAGCCGTTGTCTCACCCGATGGCCTGTCCGTGCCCTCCACGCGCTCCCCCCCCCCCCCCCCCCCCCCCCCCCCCCCCCCCCCCCCCCCCCCCCCCCCCCCCCCCCCCCCCCCCCCCCCCCCCCCCCCCCCCCCCCC